GTGTTTAAGCTTAACACTTGAGCAGTTCATATACACCTTTTCTTTTCATAAAGACGTATTTTTGTGTTTTAAATAGTCTATTATTACAATTATTGTTTTAAATACCTAGATACTTGTTAATTATAAAAATGGCCAAAGCAGGAAATGTTTGTCAATACTTTCAATGTGGTGTTTCAAAACGAGTGGAACCCAATCTAAAAATGTATGGATTTCCTTTTAAGGATGAAAACCTGTGCCGCGTTTGGGTTAATAATGCTGGTTAGTCCTTCTTGTTTCATTGATAGTATGAACTATTACCAATTAATGCTGCTATGAAGTTCGCCGTGAAAAATTGGTGGTTCGAAAATGAACGAATGGTATCTAATCCTTAATTCAAACGAATTGTTGTGTCGCAACTACGAATCGAATGTTATATTATCGAAAATACTATACCTACGCAGTTTAAGTAAACGGCATCAAAAATTCGCTATGTGTAATGTGTGTATCAATTTCGTTTGCAGAACCGAAGATAACTTTGTCATTTGTTAATGTTTGTTGAGGTTGAGGTTTTCAGGTTTCACTTTCTCATTACTGCGTGACTTATTTCCTACTTTTAAATGTTGCACATATAAAAGCTTGCCGACATTGTTCTTAAATGTCATCGATTTCGATGCAAACAATCTAATTTTGAGCTTTGCTGGTTTGTGATACCTACATTCAATTTAGAAGAAGGGTATATTAATCGCCGGAGGTTTTCCGAAATCATTTCGGTATACTATGATGAAGTTGACCGGCTGTGATTTTCTGGAACCGGATTTTCCAGAAACGGGAGAGATACCTTGAATCATCCAAACAAGTTTTGCTACACTGAATTCTGAAGAAGGTAATTCATTTATCTTTGGGGATTTATGCAGAATTTGTTTGGGGCTCTCAGCTCTCATCAAGTTGAACAGGTAGGTACCTTATACATTTTCGAATCGCCCATTTTTGGTGACCAACTTCACGGTGGCCCAATTATATACAATCATCAAATAAATCTTCCCTATAGATAAAAAAGCACGTCTTTACAGGGGCTACACATCTGATTCCACTGTCACCGAATTCATTAAAAAATAAAAAATCTGTGAAAAACATTTCCGATTGGAAGACTTCACAAAATCTTCCAAAGAAAGGCTCATTAAAGGCGCAGTGGTAGAATCCAAATTAACCGGATAAAATCGTAAATTGGTAAATACATCAATATGAAAGGAACGGTATTTTGTGAATTTTATCACCTTTTTGTGAAATTGATATCGGTTGTTGTAAAATAAGTATTTTCAAATGACTTTGGACACATTTAATTATATTGAGAATCAAATAAACAAATATAGAAAACGAGCTCCTGGGTATGGCTGTAGCATGTGCACAACCAAATTTTAATCCTGATGTTAGTTTTGCTTTTATTTAAAGTGTAATTGTATGACATTTCATTTAATTGCTTCCATAAATATGAAAGTTGGCACTGCGCATGCGCAAAACCAAATTTTGAAACTGGCGTTAAATTTGCTTTTATTCCAAGTGCCCATGTATCAAATTTCATTTAAATACCTTCATAAATAAAAAGTTTGCAATTCAGTTTATAAATGGTCGAGATGCGAAAAGGGCATTGTGAATGTTGATCGATTAGGCTCAATTTTTGGAATTGCGTTTTATATAGCTAAATCTATATGCATATTGAATTTCATGCAATTCGGTTCATAACTCACAGAGATGTCAAAAGGGCCTTCCTTATTTTTTGGACTACATTGCCAATTCACGAACTCCGATCTACAAATTTGATAAAGAATCCCTGTACTAAATTTTACTGTAATCGGTCCATTCGTTATCGAGATATCGTGCTAACGGACGAACTAGGGAATGCAATACCGGGATCCCGCGGGATTTGCGAGACTGAGGAATTTGTCGACCAAGGGACGACTCTTGTTTACTTTGTTAATGAAACTCATAACGGAGAAGTTATTTTTTAAATAATTGTTAAACTTTTTTCGTTAAAAATGTACCTACTATGATTTTTGAGGCACTTTAGTTCACCTTTTGTGCTTTACAGGTGAGGTTTTTTTGAGCTCTAAGTTAGGCTGAAGGTAATTTTTTGTTAAATATTGTGATAATTAGCGATTTGTTTTAATACAGACCGCACAGAATTGCTTATTTGCCAATTTATTTAAAATTTTCCCGCAAATACCGGGATCCCGCGGGATTAACTTCTAACAATCCCGCAAATACCGGGATGGAGATTTTGCTGCGGGATTGCATTCCCTAGGACGGACAGACACTGAGACACCGCAAAATTATAAACTCGCTAGGGCTCGTTAATAAAGCCATACTTCGCTTGCGATGACTGGTGATCAATCAAACTTGCTTGAATTTCAAACCATCGCCCAAAGTAGCATCGCATCGCATAAAATAAACGGAGGTTTGAATTTATCGCATCGCACAGCATTTCATCGCCCATCGCGCGATAGCCAGCTGTCTGAAAGTATATTAAAACGATCGTACGCCAGTATGGATTTTTTGAAATAACAAGCATTTACCGTACTTATTTTTCAAAACATTAAACCCATATTAAATAACAATTAGGTACCTATAGTAAATAATAGGTATTATTTCATCCTATATAGATATCAGATATTAACTCATTGAGGACATTAGGAATAACCAGCCGCTATGTTTAACAATTTTCTACTAGTTACAACCTTTGCAAATGAATAAACAAAGCTACAACTTGTTTGTGAGATTGTCGTACTATAAAGTGGAGTTCATTCACTACAAAGAATAAATGATAAACATTTTATCGCAGACGGTGTAACACTATACCTTTAGGTATTACCTATGTTATATAAATAAAAGATTTTTTTTCTCTCTTCTGCTATAGGAACGTTGCAGAAATCTTTCTAACTAAGAATGAACTTTTAATTTTAATGTTTGGGTTTGAAACTGTACTAGAAAGTTAATTTGGATTTAACACACTTGGCGGTGAAATCCAAATTTCGCGCAGCATATTTTTACATGGCGTGATATATCTGGAGTATTTTAATCTGTGACGCGAGTAAGAATCAAAAAGTTACTTAAATGGAAATCAAATCAGGAATCGGTAGGAAAATAACGTTACAAAGTTGAACAGCGACAAACTATTTTCGTAAAAAAAAAACTAAAACTAGAGAAGTATTTTCACCTTAAATATAATGCGAGTGTGATATGTATGTATGTTATCTACGAGTAATTTCATTTATCAACCTAACCTATCATGATATATGATAAGGAGATCTCTTAGAATCTGCGCGAAACGTCAGGGAAATGTATCTACATTTTTTGAAGATCATTACCTACTGCTGGTACTTCACATATACACTCATTGATCTAAGGGACTCCAGAACCCAGAACATCGTTATTTTTTTTGCGACATTTTCAATTAACTACATGTGAAATTAGATCACTCACTAGTAGGCGGGGGACACTTTGTCACCCGAAGGCCCAATCTTCAAATGAGTATAACTTTTGTTTGAAAAGTGATTGTAACTCATCAAGTATGTACAGTACACAACAAATTTCGTGGAATTCTCTCTATTTTCGTTAACCGGCCAAGAATTGCAGTGGGACTTTTTTTTCGAATTTTCAAAAACTAATTCCAGATTCGTGATTTTCATGTTCAAAAACCCCAGATACCAAATTTCGTCGAAATCGGAATTTTTTTCGCACCCCCTTGGCTGACGCCCACTCAAAAATAAAGGCAAAATAGAATAAAATAAAAAATATAAAAAAGTACGTGTTACGAGTCTCAAACAAAAATTACAGTGACCGTCAATCAAATAATAATTAATATGTACTTGCGAAAATGAAACTGTTACTTTTATGTTTTTTTAAATTGATGCTAATTGGAAGTTTTTCACCTAGGCCATTCCACTTCGTGAAATCGTTTATTTATGTGCACTCTGAAATTACCGTGTTTTTTTCGATAAATTGTTTTTTAAACAATACCCACATAATTTACAATTTAAAATTACAGGACTTGACGACCAATTACTGTAAATAATTACAAAATCGCCAGTACTTGTGCAACTTAGCTATAGGCATAGCAGATTCTCTGCCATTATACTAATTTCGATTTATTACACGAAAAAGTTTCGGAATACTTGCCAACTGTTACGATTTCATACTTCAATTTTATCGCTTACGAAAGATAGATATTAGTTTGTGTGAAATTGAGGAAGTTGTGCAGCTGAGAGATTGGCACAACTTTTTTGAAATTTATTAAAAAAATGTCATTTTCATTTGGATCGACCATTTTATTACCGCACTTCGAAGCGGAAATTGCAAGTACTGTCTGGTCAATTGTAGTTAACTTCCTGCTACTGTTCTTTTGACGCTTTGTTGATCTGAATGTCGGTATACGGTTTAATTGAAGGAGTTTAAAAATAGCATCCTCGCTTGCTTGGTTTTAGGTCAAGGTAGTTTGTGAATTTTCCTTTTTATGATAAGAAGCGCGATAGATAAGTGCAGGTCGTACACTTGGGAGGTATTCAGTATGCTACAGGCTGGTTATATAATAATACTTGATTGTAAAATAATTATTAGCCGTTTAAGAAATATGAAATGGTGGTGGACAAGGATTTACCTTGCCAGCGTGAAGTCACTTCGATTAAGTATAATGTTGCATCACTATCAATTTAAACGTCTATCGATGGCTCGAAGCACAAGTCGTGATTTGTATTCTAATTACATTGCATTAATTCAAGAACTGGAACGAACTTGGAGAGAAAGTGATATAAGTAAGTTTGTTTAATCAAGTATATATGTATACCTATATAAGACAATTAATTATTTCCGCAAAACATTGAAATCGAAGCACTTTCTCAACTTTTTCAGAAATAAGTTGCTATTGTTTACTTTATCGATGTGCAGTCATCGAGTCTAAAAGACCGATTGAACGTGCCAGTTATGCAATTGAAATATAAACAAATGCGTAATAATTCCTTTTTTTATAGGCACAAACACAATCGAGATATTAGAAACAGAAAACCTTGGAGATCGGTGAGTGTAATTTTTCTTACCTTCTTCTGTATTTATTGCCGGATATCCTTCACTGCAATTACTTCAAAATGGAATGGAATTGATTGATACCTAAATAAACAGACAATTATTTTACCATAAGGGATGGAGCTAGGAATGGAGTGTATTCCCCATCAGATTTGCAAAAGGAAACAATGGGCCGTATGAATAAAACTAAGCAAATGCTTATACTTGCAAAATTCAAAGTAAATATTCGTAACTGCCCCTTTATACTGGTCTGTTTAGCATGTTTTAGCAGCGCTGTACTGCGTCCTTTCCTTCTACTTAGAAGCGCTGCGCTGCTAAGTCGCCCAATGCCAAGGAGCACTTACGAGTATTTACTTTGAATTTTGCAAGTATAAGCATTTGCTTACTTTTATTCATACGGCCCAATGTTTTCTGTTTAGATTGTTATAATTAAATTACGGCAGTTTAGCGCCTTTATTCTTAATTTCCTTACAAACGGTCGATTTTGTAATATTGAAATGCAATCAGTAATAATTAGATAATTACTGGATAGGATGCGGCTAATAAACGTCTCTGTAAGAAACACATAAAAAGGGGTACGTATTGTACATACGTACCTAACCTATATTTCGACTTTATGCATCGCTGTGGGCTAGTTGTCTTGCGTGTGCAAGTGAGTACCTAGCTATTTTTGAGCAACTGATTAGTAGATAAGAAAGAGTTGGACAAGCAATTACCTAACAAATGGACGGTTACGTTTTAAATTCATAGCGTGTACTGCCAAGTAGTTAAGGCTCGCATTTCAAAACGAACCGCTGATTGTTATATTTTATTTTGACAAAAAAAATTACATGTCTATTTAGATAGGTAGCCGGAAGCTTAATGGATGGTTAAGGTTAAGTTAAAAAGTAATCGTAAACGATTTACAAAAAGCGCATTTCCACTTGCATTCATTTCCCATTTGTAAAGATGCAACTTCTGTTAAAATCGTAAAAATCCGGCCATAAATATGAAAGACAGCGTTGCATATGTACAATCCATTTTTAACGTGCTACTTCAATTTCAGTTTATAAGAAGAATTTCATTTCAATGCTTTTCTAAATAAGAAAGTTGGAACTGCGCATGCGCAAATCTAAATTTTGAAACACGTTAGATTTTCCTTTATTCCAAGCGCCTATGTATCAAATTTCATTGAAATCCCTCTATAAATAAAAAAAGTTGACACTGTGCATGCGCAAAACCAAATTTTGAAACTGGATTTTGATTTATTCCAAGTGCCTATGTATCAAATTTCGTTTAAATACTTTTATAAACAAAAAAGTTTGCAATTCGGTTTATAAATGATCGAGATGCGAAAAGGGCACTGTGAATTTTGAATCGATTCGCCTCAACTTTTGGCATTGCGTAATGGCTAAAGATATGCCCATATTGAATCATGCAATTCATTTCATAACTAACGGAGATGTCAAAGCAATCGGACATTTCTAAACAAAGTTATCGTGCACACGGACAGATAGAGGGACATACAGACAAAGGAACAGACGGACAGACCAACAGACAGACGACAGACAGCAATACAAAACAGTTAGATTAGCCGGCTTTGAAAACCAATCTGCACCGAGATAAAAAAAATGGGAAATATGTAAAATCATTTCATTCTGGCATAGTTGTCTGCACTTCTGTATTTCGGTACTAAGGCGGCAATCATTACCAAAAGTTCAGTTATCAAGCACCTAGGTACTTGCCGAAAGTGTTACGATGCGTTTCCCAACTTTACGGGCGGTAAGTAGGAAGTTGAATTTAAATATTCAAATTATAATTAATACAAAGTAGGAGATTAAATGGTGCATTTGAGCAAAATTAACGCAATATTTCACTTACGCTTTCACTGAAGTGGAATAATTTTAAACGAATGTACATATTTTAACAGAAAATGATAGTGGGTAGATTACCTATGGAGTGACCCGGAAATTTCTCAACCACTTCTCGTAGGAAAAGTCAACATTTTCACTTCTAATTTCTAGTTAATTACCTACCTACTGAACACTTCTTCCGTATAAACAAAAGAAATGGTATGTTTTGATTTTCTTTTGATTGATTAGGTTACTACATTCAATACATGGTAAAGCTTTCAAATAGGAGCACGACAGGAAGCAGAAGAGTACGGTCAATATGTAGATACGTTTCTGATAATATCTGAAAAAAAGACTAAAAATAATAGCCTGGCTACGGACGACCCAGGATCATTAGTTACACTAAAACGCACCTCTAAAGTGGGATGGGCGACAGGAAATTGCTTGACACTTTGACGATGATATCGTTTCTTCGAGAGTAAATCACTAATCAGTGTAATTAATTACACCATGTATAAATGTAATTGGTTTGTTTATCGGAGACTTGTAAAGTTTTCTAATAAATGTTATAGAAGTAGGTAACACTATGCGAGATTCAATTAATTAAAATGAGCCTTTCAATAAAGCTTGTCTTTTTCATTTTACCGGAAACTCATTTTTGTGCTTTAAGATAAAATGGACAAATGTAGACAAAGAGACAATGGACAAGTTTCATGATGTTGATAATACAATATTTAACCTAATGACATTAACATATAGACCAAATCTAATGAACTAGTACAAAAATTAAAATAAAAATTAAATGCGTCAATAAATGACTGAGAAATATATTATTAAGTTTACATATTCAGTGTGCAACACAGTAGTGGTCTGTACCGCTTGTGACGTCATTTGACCTTATCGTTACGATGGCAACACCAATAACTAAGCGAACCATTGAGTTAGAAAACTAATGGAGGGAATATAATGGTAGAGGGGGTAAGAATTTTTGTAGACGGAAGTTGCCACAGATAGAGGCCACTCGCGTGGATAGGTTCCCGTGAAGGTACATTTTGGCCGACATTATTTGACATATGAAAACGCGGGTCCTGTCACTGTCAGTTTTCCACCAAATTCAAATTTTATTAAATTTACCATTTTAAAGTACCTAATAATTTCGGATCGGTTTGTGCTCTGGTTTATATAAATGACTAACTGCCTCATAGTGTTTTCATCACACGCAATTTTGTGAATTGAGAATGATTAGCTGCGTATCATGCAAAATTTCTCATAAAGGGAAGAAACAGGGCATTTCCTTTCATCGGTAAGACATGTCATTTATCATGTTGTAGGCGAGGTTGTAGGTAGGTACCTATAGTTTATGTTTCTTAGTTTTCCAAACGAACCAGTACTCAAGAACAGCTCTCGAAATTTACTTTTGTGCTCACAACGCTTCATTGACTGTGATTTCGACCAAAGGTTGCACCGGAAAATGTTCATCAAATATCTCGTCAATTTATATGGAGTAGGTATCTACTATCAAAACTTGTAATGAACCTGAGACCAACCAATCGATTGTAGCTATTGATCAACACAGTGAATTTAATGGGAGTTGTCAAGTTGTAGTGGCTATAGTAAACTGGCCTTAATTATACTAATGGAACACATCGATGTATATTTAGATTTCTAATCAATGATTATATTAAATCTGCATACTTTCCCATCCTTGTCTATTTTGTTTACTTTACCACGAGCATGTATTTTACTCCTTCTGTACGTTTTTTTTGTTATTATTCCTATTAGTGGAAAGAAAATTATATCTCTACGCCACTGAAGTGAGACGCTAATGATAACGGAAGTGGTGTGGTACTTTAATCACAGTTAGAGGCCACTTTTGGTTCCCGTGGTCTACGTCTGGCCAAGCATTTGATTCCCTCCATTAGTTTTCTAACTCAATGAAGCGAACGAATAGGTAGCATATGATAATAGGTCAAGTGACGTCACACGCTGAATCGAAATTATTTTTCCAAGCCAAACAACAAAAAACTGGAAACTTCTCCATTGTTCACAGTAAGAATGGCTCTTATTCTCCACGTATTTCTGGGATGTCGCGGAGGAAGTTTCTTGTGTCTGGGTCGCGTCCCCTCGCACACCTCTGGTATAATAAAGCTGCCTTAGCGATCATAATAAAACGTGACGTTCTCACGTTTAACGAAGTTCCGCTTACATGCATATTAAAAATCTAAAATCAATCCAGTTCATTTACAGCTCTCCAAAAATCAATATCGGCTTTATTGGAACATCTAGTACCCAAAATTGTCCTACCATTTTATAAGTGGCCATTTTACTCTAACTAAGTTACTAATCCCTTAAGTACGGAAAATCCGTTTGTATATTTAACTCAGTTAGAAGACTTCCGTCACTTAAGTGGAACTCTTCTTTCTTATATTAGTTCATACACGAATATTTTATACAGTGTAAAATTCTACTTTTTATCTTTCAAGCCGGTCAAATAAAAAAACCGAGTATTTAAGGATTGTTTCTATTTACTGTGTAAACGTCAAAATTCCAACTCTTGAAAATCTTTAAAGGAAATGATCTGTATTATATGCAAATAGAAAATTACACTTTACTTAGCATTTTTTCTGATTTCAAAAATGTAAGTATCACTATAAATAGTGATATTTACGTACGTTTTTGAAATCAGAAAAACATGCTCTATCAAATGACACAAAAAGTAAAAATGACTTCCATACGAAAAACAAAGTTGATGATGGTTAACCGGAGACGAAACGTCAGACTTAAATTAAAACTATCGCCTTATAGAGGGAAAAAGTGGCCATAATAATGTGTCATTTATTTTGAAATATCTGTTTAAATAACTTCGGTAAAAAATAAAAACCAGTTTGCAAAATTTCGTTTTTTTCAGTTTCAAAACGGAATTTTGTTAAGCATCAAAATGCGCAACTGCGCAAACTACCTACCTATCTCTTACAGTTTCCGAGATCCCCATGATGGCCCTTGAATTTGAATCGAAGATCGCTACGGGCTACATACCTAATGGTTTTTACGGCTGGTCGATTTAACATGCTGGATCGACGAGATTTCGTGACTTCGTGTATAATTTTAACCTGTGTTTCGCGGTCACCCGAATAATGCCCTCCGAATCTTTCTTTTTGTTCCCATTTTTATGTTACAGAAATACACCTTTAAAATGTTGCTAATCGTTTCAATGCAAGGATGCTATATATAGCATCCTTGGTTCCTCGTTCAGTCAATAAACTTCGCCCCTTTGGCCAATTTGGAAATTACCGACCCATATCTTTGCTATCTGCTTTCTCAAAAATTCTTGAGAAAGCGTTTTATGCACGATTAATGAACTTCTTACTACGCCACAAGATCCTGTATCCGCATCAATTTGGTTTCCGAAGAGGATTATCTACCCAAGATGCAGTCCTTTCATCTGTAAGCTGTATCTTCCGAAATCTCTAATTAGGGAAAAAAGTCACTGGACTTTTTTTTGATTATTCTAAAGCATTTGATGTAGTAGATCAAAAACTCCTTTTACATAAACTACAACACTACGGAGTCCGGGGTATTGCTTACCAATGGATAGTTTCTTATTTAACCGGACGATCACAAATTGTCTCTATAGCGGCGGAAGGTAGTAAGTACAACTCGTCACGGAAAGAAGTGTGTATTGGTGTTCCTCGAGGAAGTACTCTAGGGCCTTTACTTTTTGTCATTTTTTTAAATAATTTAATAGACTCTTTCAACAATAACATGAACCTCTGACTATTTGCGGACGACACTTCAGCGTTAATTACAGCTGATACGGTACAAGCGTCAACTGAAGGTGCTAACAGGTGCGCGTTAAAAATGGCGGATTATTGTCACCGAAAAGGACTTATATTAAACAATGAAAAAACTAACCTAGTGACTTTTTCCACCCAAGTGCCTAATTACACTCTTTTAGTCAGACTCGACAATAAATGTATTCGCCAACATCAAACCATGAAGTTTTTGGGTATAGTTATTGATTGCAATCTCACGTGGCACTCGCATATTGACTATGTTATGTGCTATGGCGCCTCCGTCATTCTGTTAGTCTTAAAATATCGCTTAATTATTATTATGCCCACATACACTCTCTAGTGTCTTATAATAATAATAATAATAATTTTTTAATAATAATAATTTTATTCGTCCCTTGAACTTGATTATGGTGTGGTACTTTGGGGAAATAGCTCGAAATTTAACAGCATCCTCATTATACAAAAGAGAATGCTACGGACAATTTTTTACAAACCTTACGGCTACCCATGCAGGCAATTGTTCAAGGACTTGCACGTACTTACAGTGCCCTCGGTATATATTTTGCAGTGCGCGATCTATGTCCGTAAACATAAAATTCACCTCTCTACCGATAGGGAGGACAAATACGATCTACGGCGGGACGACCATCTACCGCTACCGTCCCATATATACACCTTGTCGGCAAAAATTGTTATATTATGCCTATAAAAGTGTACAATAAATTGCCTAGAAACATTAAAAACATTCTATCAGCTTCACATTTTAAAAACTCCGTGACAAAGATGCTAATTGAAAAAAGATATTATTCCCTTAAGGAATATTTTGATGACAGATTATAAACCAATTCGAATTTGTATGTTCTATTTCTTTTGTTATTTGTGTTTACTGATAGTAGGGGAGCTAGCACGAAATCCACTGAACGAGAATGATCAAAATTTTAACCGATGGGGTTCCCTTTTGCCCCATCAGAGTATGCTAAAATCGATCGTCTGCCGCCTCAGATCATATGACTTAAGGCGCTACGGGTACTTCTTGCGGTACCAATTCTGAAAGGTTGTTTTTCGAGAAAATAAGTTATACACCAAATAAAAACGTTGATAATAGCTCTTAAAAAAATATTTAAAAAAATCGCGCACATTTGATAACTCCGTAAAAAAACAATTCTTAGTCGGTTTTTCACGAACTTTCTACGGATATAACTACGGTTACGGGTTGGACGAATGAAGCTGATTTTTTTTACAGACTGATGAGCCGCATTTAACAACCATTGTCTTAAAAAAGAATAGAGCAACAAATTTATTGAGAAACCATTGACTTAAAATACGCCAGCGGGTTCCCGTTACAATATGAATTTTGAGAGAGTAATTTTATGTTCGTTTATTCTCTTTCACAACCGTGGTACAGTGTGCTCTATTTCAGACGCGACATTCATTTACAAGAAAAAAATCCAAACGTGGGAATTCTTGGAGCCTTCATTTAATCACAAGTATAGGGCTAATTATTACGTTAGATTCGTAATAGGAGAGAACTTTCCAACGGATTAATTTCACGTTAGGAAACCGATCTATCCTTCAAAGGAAAGGAATATTTACCTTATTGTCATGTCGTTTTGAACCAACATCCGCAGGGAAAAATGCGATGCTATTTTAAAATTTTTGTCAAAAACTTATAGCCTTCGCACTCTTGGCGATTGATAGGACCTGTTGAGAGTCGGAGTCACTTGGTTAGGGGTGTAAGAGTACTTAGCCTTACAAGAGAGAGAATGAGACATTGAAAATGGTAGAAATTTTCTACCCCTCCTAATTGTTAACAAACAATGCACTTGGGATTTAATAAATATAGCTTGTATGAGTAAAATCATTGTTTGTCTTATACCGGGTGATTCATTAGAACTGAGGACAGTTTGAATGTCCCGCAAAACTAAAAATTTTAAAGGTTGGTAATAACAGAATATCATTTGTCTAATTCCAGTGGTGTATGTAGAATCACTTTCCAAGGGTAATAATTTATTTTTAATTTACAAATAAGTCTCCCATTTTACAACAAATTTTACATTTGCACTAAGCACAGTCACGATATTAAAATTGTATTAAATGAACTATAAAAATTGCTCAAAATGTCCACCATTGTGTTCACGGCACAATTCCTCTCTACGCTTCATATTGTCAAACACTTTCTCCAGAGTTTCAGGTGAAATTCTTTCTAGTTCCTCAATAATTGCTGCTCGTAGTTCATCAAGAGTATGTTGAATAAGACACTCCTGTAATTCGAAAATAAAGTTAGTAGGTATAAATTCATTCTACGTGTACCACTTACCAGCTTGGGCACTTAACTGACGGATTGACTTTTTGGGACTCGCCTCCATTCGTTGTCTGACATCTTGGACCACTTCATCGTTTCGTAGTAATGGACGACCGGTATGTTTTTCTTTACAAATGCAATTCTTGTTTTCAAATCGGTCCACAATTCGTGTCTTATGATTGGCAAATGCTTTATAAGAAATAATAACATCGGGATACTCTTCCATAAATTGCTCTCGACAGGACCGGAACGAATATGACCACGTTCCATCTTCATTACGTACAGCACTTCCAAAATGAGCCTTCAAAATAAAGGCATCTTGTTCTTGTGTGAAGGGCATCCTCAAGAACCTACAAATGCAAATTAGTGTGATTTAACCGTTACTTAAATTACTTACTTCAACAAACTCTTGAATTTACAGCGTAGCTCTGAAAAGAACTGTTTTTAAGAACGTTGATAATACAGTTTGCAAAAGTAAATTAAAAACAACAACAAATTAACGAAATAACGACGGCACTGGTGACTAATATGAATTAGTAAAATAACTAAAAATATATCATCGCCAATTCAATCACGTAAAAAACACTAGAATTGTACGCGCGAAATTCAAACTGTCCTCAGTTCTAACGTTGATTTTCAATCAACGGTTTCTAATGATTCACCCGGTATAAAAGTGCACGCCCCTTCTTAAGTGCATTTTGTTCTATTTATAAAACCGTTGAATTTTATAAATAGCGGAACGTGATGCAAGTTCGTTTAACTCAACCATAGTTGTGTTAGCGCGGTATGCCATTATGCTGCACTCAAACATCTAATAAATCAATTTAAACAATGAACTGTAACTTTTAGTATGATGAGATGAAAAACCTATTTCATATAAGTACATTTGCAGAATTTCAAGGATTGATGTTGGCAAATGAATTCCGCGCCCCACCTTTTTATTAGAATGTTTGTAACACCTTTGATTATGCACATTGTACAGTGTACAAGTACAATCAAAGGTAGCCTTATCCATATCAAATAACTTGCATTGTTATGCTTTCCACTTATTTACCAACACATATCAGATAAATAGGTAACTAAAACTTCCGGTGTTAGGATCAGTTTACGATACTTATTGAGTATTAAATTTAAAGTTCAATAGATGACAACATACCAAGTTCTATTACAATAATATTAGTCTGTGCAATTAATTAGTAGTGAATGTGAAATCACAATTATTTTAGCTGGTATGCTATCTACTTACGCTCATTACATACCTACCTACCTACCTACTAAGGTTTTCTATGTAATTCTAATTACATTAAGGCTGATATTTCATGGCTCAGTTAAATTTATCGGATAGATAACATCCCTTATGTGAATACTTACTTCCTGGGGAAATTAACTGTTAGGTATCCGTATATTCATAGATGTAAAAAAGACACCTCATAAGAAACATGGTTTATCCAAAATCCTTAAAACTTTTAACCAAAAAATACTGTATCTAACTATCTACTTACTACATCATTGAATTTTAATAAATTCAATGCACTACTAAAACCATTGCTCATAATAACACTTGATTTGCTGACCTAGAACGAAAATGGATGTTTTTCTGATGTGAGTAATTTATGTCATAGTAAATAAATAATGAAAAAAAAATTATTTACTGTTGCAAAATGTATCAATAAGTCGATATCTAATTTCTAAAATCGTGAGACACCTAATTAGTTGTGTCTTTTTGTTTTACAGGTGAAAAGTGTAGGCGTCAGTGATGTCGGCTATTTGTCAAAATTTCGTTCAAAACGCTTGGAAAAAGGAGCTGTGCTCAAACTGTTTTAAATCCAAAGATGAACATCAGATTACCATAAAAAAGCTATCTCCGCCTACTTCCGAAACAATACTTGAAAGCATAATTAAAAGTAGCTTGAAATCCCAAAGCAAATCAAAGCACGTTGTTTCATTTACAAATGAAATATCGAAGGTTATAGGATATGGTGGAGAAGACTGGTCCGAAATCGAAGAGGATCACGTGGAAGAAACGGAAGAAGAAACGGATTCACAAGATACAGACGAGGAATTTGATGAAACTGAAAAGGAATTGCGAAAGATTACCAAGCGAAACACCGATTTTAACACCGTCAATGCAAATCTCTTAAATGATAATAGCGAAACTAAGAAATCGTATACTCGTTTAAAACTGGGAAAGCCGCAAATTGATTCCGAAGGTCGAAAACATACACTCATGGTGTCAGTTACACCGTTTGGGCAAGATAAAAAGACACTTAAACCTTTATCGCAAATTCCAGTTGCTAAAACTAATAAAGATGGTACCGAAAATAAACAGACGCCGTATTTAAAGAACGAAGAAAAAACAATAAAAATCGAAGAAAAATCGTTACTGGAAGAAATCTCGGAGACGTTGGAAAAAAGTAAAACGCCAATCCAGATCATTTCAAGAAAAAAAATTTTGGCCATCTCGAAAGTAGGTGACGCAAAGGATAAAGAAAATGAAATGGAACCAGTAAACATCGAGAAAAATAAAGCTAACAAAACGAGTATTCCAGAACGAAAAAACGGCATAACGCGTGCACCGATAATAAAGAGGGATCAAGAAAAACCGGCAATTTATCAAACTTCCATCGCCAAAATAGAATTGTTGAACAATAAAAATTTGAAATTAACCAAAGATTTGACGAATCAGGTGTATAAATCAGAAGCTTTAAATAACCCAGAGAATTCCAGTGAAAATAAAGTTGAAGATCAGAACGTGCCAGAAAGTACAGTTAAATCAGAAGCCGCAATTGAGTTTCATTTGAATAACGCTAAAACAAAAAATATATCCCCAACTCACAATGCTAGTAGTAAATCTAATGCACACTCCGAAGATTGTCTCAGCACCTCTTCTAACCCAACACCCGAAGTGACATGCGAAAATGATGAAAACATGCACTCCATATTGTCGCAAGATTCAAATTGTGATTCCATGCCACCTGAGAGTCGAGAGCAAGCAGGAGAACCAGATGGTCACGCAGACCCTGATGGAAACAATGAACCCCCCGCTCTACCCACCACTCCCCCTCCTCTCGAAACACGCTCTTCTTTCCTGCACGGCAACAATGGCGATAAGCCAAAATTACCACTGAAACCATCTGCAGTACTTATTAGGAAACCAGTATTACCAACTAATCACCTGCCCGAAACTCCAACGCATACACTTTCGTCTTTCTCGCCCGAGCCTAGAATTATTCAAGAGGACGATTCCGCAAAGGAGTTAGATATAGGCCGCACTCCTAACAAGCGTAAAGCCCCCAAACCGCCATCGTGCGATGAATCTTTTTTGAAAAACACCGTGTCGATTTTCCCAACGCTGCAGGAAATGGAAAAAAGGGCTTCTTCTTGCAGTTCCCAACTTCGCAATGAAAGTCCTCACAGCGATGCGAGTTTAATTCTACCGGACTCGGTTCCTAAAAAGGTACTGTCGCAATCGACTGATAGCTTGTCGACAATCGGAATCGAAGAAAAGAAAAAATCTAAAGGCCGCTTTTCACTTAAAAAGTTCCTAAGGATGAGTTCAAGCAAAGATGTGCACAAAGTGCGCAACGACTCCCCAAAGTACGAAGAAGTCAAGTATGTTGAAAACCAAACTCGTCCCAGACTGGTTATTGTGCATCCATTAGATTTGAATGGCGCCCAAGTGGAAGTCGTGTCCAAACCGATAGTGGCGCATGAACAGTTCGAATGTAGTTTTTCCATGCCATCATCAAACATCGAGTATCAAGTACCAAAGTCAATCCCGGTTGAAGTAACTAGCTTAGAGCAAAGGCTCGTGAAACCCCCACCGCCACCTCGAAATCTCGACGATTGGAATCGAAAAAATAAACCCAATTTACCGCATCCGCCGAAATCGGTAGACATTATCAACAAGCAAAAGCACCTAAATCGAATTAATAACCTCCGAAACGCTAACGATTCCGTTTACGCCAATATCGGCGAAGTTAGATCTGCTATAATACCAAACAAGCCTCAGAGAACCGCCAGTATGAGAGAGAGGGAGGCACTGGCAGCGCAACATAACACTTCAACGGACAGCTACGAACCCGTCGAAGCAACATTTAAAACCAATAAAGAGAACGTTTACGACTACATCAATTGCGGAAGATCGAGTTCGTCCGAGTTCGACAGTTCCAGCCCTGAGAAGAATAGTCCAACGTCAAGTAAAAATCCAAGATATATACGGCAGATTAGATCAAACAGTAACGTTGATGTTTCTGGAGACTACTTTAAATTTCAAACTATACCCAGATCTGCTTCTCTTACTTATTGTGGAAGTGAAACAGAGTCGGAAATTTATGCGCCGTACAGTTTTTATGGAAGCGAATCCGAGGTAGGTACCTTCTTGTTTCCTAAGATAGATACAGAGCGTTTAACTTTCGCGTATTTGACTAATTGAGTCAAAAAGACACAAAAAGACAAAACCTTCTCAATACTAATTTAACAATTATAAAAACAGCAACTAGTTTCGACCAACGGTCATCTTCTGGCTTAAGGAGATTACAGATTAAAAATTTAAAACATTCAAGAAGTACACATTACAAATTTGACAAGCAGCATGGGGAAAAAACGATGACAATTAAACTATAACATTAAAATATGTCGTCATTAAATATAGTCTTTAGGTTTAGATCCATGTAAAATTAATTACTATTTAATTATTAAATGATAAATCGGGTTTAGGTGAAGACGCCATCGAGGCGACCTATCTCCATCTTGGCTCGTTTTAATCGTCCTCATCTCCCTCTCTCGGATGCTTTTTCTCTCTTTTTTCTTTGTTTGGTTTTTTCCATAATCTTTGCTTTAATCCTCGTTTCAATCTCTAAACCTCACTATGATTCTTATATTCTGTCGTTAGTTTTCGGCTTCAGCTCTATGATATGCTTCTTATATTGTATGTTTCCCTGTGAATTCCAGATTTTCTGCCTTTGTTGCTACCACTTGTCTCAGCCCCATCTCCCTCTCCTTCTGTCTCATCCATATTAGTTCGTTTCGTAATGTTTTTCCTTTTCTAAAGAGCTAAATTATGGGGGAATACACACACTGGTGTTCTTTAGTTCCATGCCCCATTATGAGGGGTCTATAAATTTCTTCTCTTGTCTTTATCTTTGTTCATTCTCTATATTATTATTTATCTACCCCTTTTTTGTCTCTTTTTCTATATTTAGTTTATATATAATGTTTCTGCATTATCTTTCTCCTATTACTCATACTTGTTTCATAGCCACTCTCCCTTTTCTCCCATTTCTGCGTTTGCTCTATTATTGCTTTTGTCTCTCTTCCTTTCCTAAATATCCTTTTTGATCTTTCAAAGTACATTTAGTTACATTTCTTTGATTGCAGTATTTCTCAATTCATTCCATCGTTTCCTTCATTAGTTTTTCTTCTGTTGCGTATCAGTGGTTTTTAGATGTTTGTACGAGGGTTGTCCAGAAAGTAGCAGACGTTTTGAAGTAAAAAATTTTAAAATTGTAAAGAAAATCTCCTATTATATACATTTGGAGGCTGCACTCTTGGGATATTTATCAACACAAGGGCCATTCAAATTGAGGCACTTATCATAGCGTGGTACAAGTGTTTTGTTTCCAACTTTTATTATTTAAAAAACGGTGTGACTAGCCTCCCGGCTCCGGTATTCATACGAATCCCGGTTGCACTATATGACATCACGCTAGTGACGTCAGCGACGACCGGGATTATTATAAATCCCGGCTGACAACTTGGTGCGATGTTTGTGATCGTTTACACGTGGGTTTTACGTTTAAATATTGCAGTAACTTTTTCTCTGGTGCTGCTTGGCAAGTTGTCCAAAATTTAATCATCGCGAAAAGGGAGCAAAACGAATGGCTGTGTGTGTTATGCAATTAAGAAATTATCAGAAATCAATCTGATTGCATTATGTGTGCTTCATGCCTCCTGTGGAAGCACGTTAAATGTACAACTTTAAAGAAAATACCAAAATGTTCAAATGAATCGATTTGTTTGGAATGTAAGACGTGAACAATAATAATTAATATCTACGAGTAACTCAGTTCACACTATTAATATAATTCGTATATATATATGTGTTCAGAATTTATTATATTTTTCTAGTTGTAGGTACGATTAAAATATTTACCAATTTTGAATAAATCTTATACTCCTATAAAGTAGGTACCTACGTACTTAGGTGTATAATGCTATCAACTCTATCTTGAATGTTTAAATAACTTACCCCGCCGGGATTTATAATAATCCCGGTCATCGCTGACGTCACTAGCATGATGTCATAGTAAAACCGGGATTCGTATGAATACCTGAGCCGGGAGGCTAGTCACACCGTTTAAAAAAAGGAGTATATTTCTCTAAAAATTAAACAGTTATTTGTTTGTAATTCAAACTACAGATATTGTGCTTTGTTTCAATAACACTGTATAAATCTCATAATTGATATAATGTTTTTACTACCTTAATCTTTTTTTTTTATTGTGATTACTTGGGCATCATGTGTTGCCTGACAAGCAGGCGCCAATGACTGAAACTTTCAGGGACAGTTAACTCCTTCAGGCAGTGATTCTTAACTTTACACACTGCAGACTGCTACCTTCGTTTTAAGTTAGGCATTATAAACTTTTAAATACATAATAAAAACGTTTACAATAGTAAAAATCGTTCAAAAAATGAAATGAACCTTAGAAAAAAGAAATAACATTCTGGGCAAGTGTGCCAGAACCCGTGCTGCGCCTCTACTGACTTGGTCTCGTTAAAAATGAGTACCTACCTGTAACAATCCTAGGGGTTGAGGAGAGTAGTGATTGACAAACGCTGAAAATGTTAAACTGATAAACTAGGTGGTCTTTACACTCTTATACCGTATAATGTCATTAGACCTTCTAACGCAGAAATATCATTGTGTAAAAACTATAGGTACTTTACCGTATTTCAAAGATGATCCATAGTGACTTCTACCGCCAAATTCCTATAGAGAAAAATACTATATGATTTATTTAAAGCCTTCATGTAACCTCCCCCCTAATTCCAATGATAACTTGGAAATATATTTGTTTACTATATTCATTATATCTTCCTTTTGTATACGCCCAAGAAGACAATTTCGCATGACTACCTAGCCTAGTTACCATTCTGTATGTTAGTAATTATACGTATAATTTTTTTTATGGTTTAGGTGGCGGAAGAAGATTGTGATTGGACGACACACAACGGACGAACACATAAATTAAGGTCGCGGAAAGGTAGAAGTATAGTACATAAAAATTTGGAAGACAACTATGGAGCTGTGATTGTCGCAAATCATGAAGCATTAGCGCAAGTTTTAGAAAATGTAAGTTGAATTTAATCAATATTAATATGTGCTCTAGTAATTAGTAGGTATTTACCATAACTAGGTTTTGTAACTAAAATTTTGTATAAAAGCCTAAATTAGTACATTTTTATCCATACCAGTCAATAATAAATAATTTCTAACTTCTTAAGTAATTACCCAGCACATATTTTGACTAATCTTCCAAAAATGAGTTCAAAAAAGCCTCCTCACTGGGTAGCTTATACAGGGTGACAATTTGAAAACTTACCACCCCCCATATCTTAGTAAATAAACGAGATATTTAAAAAAATCAAAATCCGTTTCGGTAATTCGGAGGGGGAATCACAATGACATAGTTGGCGACGCACCCCCTTCACACCCCCTGCGCCCCAGCCACCCCAACTTTTAAATCTTAAATAGTGACCCCCCATGTGTGATACGTCATTGGAAAGCTCTGAAAAAATGCTTTCCAACCATACCAAATAGCATTACATTTAGGTTAGTAATTATCGTGCAAATCAAAAAATAAACATGGAAATAGTTATTTACGTTATAAGTCCGGTAGGTTACTTGTAACAGTACGAGTTAGACATTATGGACGAGGCGACGTCAGGAGCCGAGTCAAGAATGTCTTAAACGAGTACTGTTACAAGTACTACCGGACGTATATCGTAACGTATTTTATTTCATACTGTAAGTCTGTTTTGTATCGTTATTTCATTTCAAAGATTACAAAATTTCAGTATATTGTAAAAATCGCATTACCTTGTTTCTGTGGCAACGGCCGTTGCTATAGTTTGTAGTTGGTTGACATTGAATTTTTTCACTGAAAAATGGACGCTATAAACGTTGTGGAATGTTCCACTGTTCCCGATACAATCCTGTCGAAATCTCATGAAGCAATCGAAAAGTTGATTCCTAAGAAGTCGGCCGCAAGGTATGAAAAAGAGTACTAAGTGTTTTGCCAATTTAGGAACGAACATGGGGCGAAACAAGTAGAGGAAAACGTCATGTTGGCATACTGTTTGGATGCAGTAAGTTTTTGAATTTAGATTTTTTTGCCTGGGTTTCGGTGTTAAAGCGTCATGGAGCATGGAAAAGCTTATCGACAGCAGAAAAATACATCGAAGGCTCGGTAGAAGGAAAAGTTAAGATTGCCCGTATGATACAACTGATACAAGGCGGCGAAATTTTCATTGAAGTTCTACAGCAGAAGGAATCAAACATTATTAACTCGACATCCAGTAATAACCCAGGCGTTAGTGTTGAGGGCAATACAAATTGTTTCATTACAATCAATGTTAATGTTTGAAATAAAGAATTACAGCCAAATTTATGTTGGGGTTTTTAATTAATTGTGTGAAGATGTCAAATTTGATGTATACAAATAACCGTCCGGTAAGTGTTGCTTAGCAACACTTACCGGCTCTGATGCTGTAATAACACCTACCGGACTCAAAATGGTAGTGTAATCGAACATCTACCGGACAGTATGAAATAAATCGTATTTAACTTGAACTTCCAAAGCCGACTCGAGAGCAACTCATTTTTGATCGTCAGTTATAATCTATTCTCAAACTCTTGTCGAACCTTTCCAATGTTGGTTTGTCAATATTTCGACATTCTTGAATTATTCTCTGTCTTAGTTCGTCTATGTTCGCCGGTTGCGTTTTAAAGTAGTTAGAGCGCCTAGGTAAAAGTAACAAGAAGTTGGTGAAAATTTGGTCACTTATTCTCTGAGAGACGCACTTTCTAATGGTCAAAAGAAAAAAGTGTTCCTATGTACCGTTTCTGAGATATTTGACAGTAAAAACAGGGCTCTTATGGACACACTCAGTTTTTTTGAGCTAGCGAAGGTTTTTGTATCAAGACTTAAATGAGATGGGTCTCATTAGAAGCGAAATTTTGTGACGATTCTAAATATGCACGGAAAAGTACATGTTCATGATGAAATAAGGAAGATATTTACCGCCGGAGCGGCGTCTGCTCTGACGCGGCGGCACGCTATGCAGCACGCGTTTAAATCTGATGACTTTTCCACTAGGTCTAGTAAATAACTGAGCTAGGACCATCTTTTCCTTCTTCTGGCTGAGCACTTTTCTTCACAAAAGGCATGGTGTCTTTCAGAAAGAACATCAAAACCAGCGATATTTATAAAGGCCTGCACACGTCTTGTTGACACACTGATCGGATCGAGATCAAGATAGCGGCTGGGGATCTCTGGCGCCAACATCGAAAAACCAAATCCACTACACCGACTTCACGTAAAACGCCAAATTATTTAGTTTCCCGGCTTTTACATACGTCTCGCATACGTTTTGATGAAAAATAAATATATTCGTTTAGGATTTACCGCTTACACTGTGAATATTTAGTCGCGGTGTGTCGTCAACATTTAGTGTGCAAAGGTTTGAAACAGGGTCGAAAAGTAGTGAGACTAGTCAAGTTGACTACTGTATATACCTTTTTAAAAATCATGTAAGACGTTTGCATTGTGCTGAGGTACAAAATACCACTCATACCGTATTTCTAATTATGTTTCCTTCATAACATCATTTTTTTGGGGACGTTTACCGTAAGTAATAGGTACGCCGAGTACATCACTTGACTTCAGCCGAACGCGCTCTAACTACTTTAAATACGATAGATTTCAAATGTATCATATTAGTTTATTTTTTGATTTGCACGATAATTACGAACCTAAATAATGCTATTTGGTATATGGTTGAAAAGCATTTTTTCAGAGCTTTCCAACGACGTATCACACATGGGGGGTCACTATTTAAGATTTAAAAGTTGGGGTGGCTGGGGCGCAGGGGGTGCGTCGCCAACTATGTCATTGTGATTCCCCCTTCGAATTACCGAAACGGATTTTGATTTTTTTAAATATCTCGTTTATTTACTAAGATATGGGGGGTGGTAAGTTTTCAAATTGTCACCCTGTATTTATATTTTCTTGAACGAGTTGCTATTGATGCAACATATTTACGTTTTAATTTAAAATTGGTTTTATAATCGTTTCAGATACAACAAGGAGTTTCAGTTCAACCTGCATTACGAGGCTTGAAAACGGCATCCAACTTACGATGGTCCAATTTTTCAATCAAAGAAAATTTGCCACCTTTAACTGTAGGATCGAGAGTATTCCATCAAGCAGTTTGGGGAGTGCATCATGTTACAATAATTATAAGTACAGGATCCACGCCAATCAATTCCCAACCGTTAGGTACATTTACTTTGAACCCAATCACAGAGTTCACCGATCTAATACCTGCTAAATATACCTCGAGTGTCACACAAGATGATAGTAAATTAATACAAGGTACTGTCGATGTCCAAATTTCGCCTTTTGTAGCAACTATGTTTTAGCATCTGTGGCAGTGTTGCCATGGATTCAGGTGAACACCATTCAGACGTATGCAGAGCTATTAAAAACTAAATTAAACAGTGCTCAAGAATTATTTAAAGATGCCTGTTTCATAGTTTTACAATTAGTTAACTCTCTCAAAGTTTTGCAAGCCCAGGGGATTGAAGAATTGCCACTTTCACTGACTAGTTTTGTAATTTATAAGGAAATGGAGAAGGATACACATCATCGTTTATGTGTTATTCAAGGGTAATTTCATTATTACTACCGTACAACAAACAAATCCTATAGATACAGAATTGCTAAATTTTAATTGCATACTTATTTCAGCCTAGGAGAAGAATTAACACACAAAAAGGAAAATATAGAATTTGGATCGCTTTGTGAATGTGCAGCAAGTGTACTTATGCACTTACTACCATCTGCAAAATTAACCCCGCTACTGCATTCGTTACTCAGTACAGAGAGGGCAGTATCTTTAACGCAAGCCAAGTCAGTATTAGAGTACACCCTATGGGGTCCAGCCGATGTAAGTTTAAGCAGCAATATTAAGGATAGAGAGTTGGCGCTTCAAAGATGGTTAGATCTGCAACGTGCCACTGTCTTGCACGGATTAGTTTGTGCAAGAATACAGTTAACAGTATATGAAGAATGTCACTTATTATTTTTGGTCCGTAGCAATGCCAAAATGATGTGTGATGCTTCATTGCTATTAGATTCGAATAAACAAAATACTCGTAATAATTGAAGAGAACCGAAATTTAATTATTATAGGGTTTATGACTGATAAAGGTATGACAAATCGAATTTTTATACATTTTTTTAATTTGTTACTGTATATTTCTAAGAGAGAGTGTTTAAGCATCTATTTCATATTTAATAAGTTATGTATGTAAAATTGTACATTTCATCTTGAAATGAGTAGAGTAAACCTAAGTGTTAATTCAATAAACCAAATTTGAAAATCACATTTACCTATAGTCGAAAACACTAACATCACAATATTTACATTAGCAATTATGTCAGTAAGAGTGTCTGTAATGAACCAATTGTACATTTGTAAATTATGTATTTCACCTTAGTAAAGCCATATGTAATTATTATACAATTAATTTGTTTAATTGACTGCCACTTGCGCCAACTGCATTGGTGCATAGTATGCCTGTGAGTATACAGTAGGGCCTATTTAATCCTAACATCCCAAGTCACTATTACGGTTTAATGCACTAAATGATAAACTGCCTGCAAGGCATGCATTGTTACAAGAGGTCATGAGTGACTTTAAACAGTCAAAAAGATCCCTTCTTCCCGACAAGAAAAACCCAACAATCCAGCTCTGTACGTGGAGATGTTCGCCCCCTGGATATACCATGTTAGAATGTTATGACGTAATACTTAGTAGCCGCACAACTAATCTGAGAAGTCTTCTGATAAACAGGATGAAACAAGTAGGTATGTTAACAAAAAATTGAGTGTTAAAGGAAAGGAAGGATCCAAAATATTTCCTCCATTTTACTTTTTTGCTGATATATTTCATTAGTGTTGTGCTTTCAGTTGATCCTATAATTAGGTATGAATGGCGGTAGTTATAGTGTTAATTGGTTTTAGCAGTTTAGTAGGTATAGTAGCAGATTTTATCTTGCATGTACAATTTTTTACAATGAGTACAGTAAAAACATTAAGTCTTAGCATAGACTTAATAGGTCTATGGTCTTAGCAATGGTTCTAGGTACAACCTCGTTAATCCGAATAGATTCGGACCACCAACCTTTCGGATTATCGCGAAACTAGTGAAAATAATAAATTTGGACACAAGCATTAAGAAATAAACTTTATTCTTTTCAACGTCTTCAGGGGTGTCATTGTTGTTACGAGGAACAAAATTTTATCGGACTATCGTGATTTCGGACTAGCGTGTATTCGGATTATAGAGGTTGAACTGTACACTGTGTCCAAGACAAAGATGCCTACTTGCGACGATACATACATTTTTGAGAGTTGGCAACCATGCAATTTCTAGGTGGGAAATAAGGTATACTTTAAAAGGAGGAAAAGGAGTTGTCAACTAAAGTATACTTTAAAAGAGTATACCTTAGTGGAAAAAAGTTGCCTGCGCCATCTAGAAAGCACGAACGGGGGACGTTTGGGCATCTTGTATTGAATGGCGGTCGTGAACGCGTCGCTCCATAAATGTTTGTTGTTATTTTGTGTTATTTAATGCTAATGCAGGTAGTAATTTTTGCATTTCTTTTTATCGTATTTGTGTTTTGTATGCCGCAGTTTGTAATTGTGTCACAATGTTTGTTTTTGAAATTTACATGGTTTAACCACAATGCAGAATGACATGTTAAATATTGTTTGCTATTGTTTGTAATTGTTTACGTTTTTGGTGTAATGCTTGCTTAAGTTATGTGTATGGATGTTGAATGTTGATTACTTGGTCTTGTCCGTGAAGTAACATTCATATAAGTCTTAATCATTTTATTTTAATATGAGGAAATTACCGATTCGTTTGATGTATGTACTGACTTGTTGTTTGTTACTATAACATTTTTCTCCACGAATGAAGCAGTCACGGGGTGGTAAAAACTGTAGTCAAATTTGAGTTACGACACCTAATTCCGTGATTGTCTTCGACATTCAACTGTAGGCTCGAAACCCCGAAATCAGGGGCGGGTTACCTATCTTGCAGGAGCGGGATTACTCTAATCAACGCTCTTCAGTTTAGAATCTATGTACGATAAATGAGTTCGTAATTTTCCATCTTGCTTTTAACAAAAGGACTTTATTGCACCAAAGATGAGTCACATCCTGTGTATTTCATCCTTTCTTAGAATCTTGGTACTACCTGCTTACCTGACCCATAATTCCCAAAACTTGTTTTTAACCTATTTGTTACCTCTTGAAGTCTACATGCTATTTTTTGTAATGTGATAATTTTATGTTATGCATTCACATATTACAAACAATTAATTCTACTACACAATTTAATATTAATTTGACGGCTGGTTTTTTTGATTGGTAAGTTCTTTTTTTCCCAGCCTATTTCTATTTTTATTCGGTGAGCTACAATTTTCAGAGTTTATTTTTGCAATGTAATTTATTTCGACTTAAATTTCCGAGCTTTCACAATAATAATTAATAATTGCGATCATTATTAAACAAACTTTTCACAATTTGAGTGTTTTATTTTATGTTCCTTCCCTATTGTGCTTCAGGTCAAAGCGTTGTCTACAACTAACGTAAGGGGGCCCTGCCTTAGATGTTTGATCACGTGCCACTTTTCAAATTTCAGCGGGATCTTGTTTAGTTTTGGAGAGAATAGTACCATTCGTGTGCCATTTTTAAACGTTGCCGGGTTAACTTTATTTCCGTGTTCTTGTAGTGTGAAGTTAGTGTAGAATCTGGGGGTTAAGTACACTACAAATGTTTTTTTTAAATTTTATTTTATGGCATACGTTAAAATGACATTTTAATAGGTTTGAATTAGTAGGCTAAGCCGTTCTTTAATCGTAAGGATAGATAAAGGAATCACTTTAACCGTAAGCAAAGAATATTAGTTACCTACTCTTTGCCATAATGGTAGATAATGTGAAACAGATGATTGTGCATTCTAATCACATCCGTCATTCTTTTTCAAATGCAAGATATAAAATGATGTTCAGAACATATGACAATTCTGTCTATGGAAACGATCACCAAGGCACAACGGCACAACCTACAGTGACTCAATTTAGAACAGTGGTGACTACCTACTCTTTGCCATAATGGTAGATAAAGTGAAACAGATGATTGTGCATTCTAATCACATCCGTCATTCTTTTTCAAATGCAAGATATAAAATGATTTTCAGAACATATGACAATTCTGTTTCTATGGAAACGATCACGAAGGCACAACGGCACAACCTACAGTGACTCAATTTAGAACAGTGGTGACAACATAGGGTATCTCGTTTTTAATTGGTCGTTGGTTCCGGTCGTCATATTGGGGCAAACTGGCCAATAGAAAGCCTTCAAAACTACGCGGTACACTCCGTGCTATAATTATTAATTATGCTGTTCTGACAGTTCACGACTTCACGTACTAGATTACACTATGCTGCTTGTATTAGCTTTAGTTTACATTTTCGTCTCCAGTTTTATATAAACTCGTATTTTTCAATACGGATATAGCTTGGATTTTCGATATTATAAGGTATGTAATACGCTTAAAGTGTTTTTAGATGTAAAACTGCATCTAGCCTTACTAGTGGTAATTGATGTAAAAGTTGTTTCAGAAGCCATGAATAACGAGTTGGGCTTTAGATAGAAACCTGGTTTGAGAACACACTGAAATGTCAAACACAATTTACATGATAAAAAGTCTCCTGAAAGACGCCTAATTTTATGCAAGCAAAATAACTTCTTGAAACAAATAAAGATCTGGCTGTCATATTAATTATTAATTTGAATATTGTTGCTTTAGCTTCATAGAAAATAAATCTGTTAAGCTCCTTTAACTGTTATCGGCACTATACCAATTGGAAACATCAACTTTTTCTTTAGTTGAATACATCGCACACGAACCGAAATTAGAATAGGGAAGTCAAAGCGATAATATGCAAATTAATTAATATGACAGGCAGATCCTCATTTGTTTTAGGTAGTTACTTTGGTTGCATGAAGAGGGCGTCTTTCAGGAGACTTTTTATCATGTAAAAGTAGACATAGGAAATCCCTATGTCTACTTCTACATGAATATCACTGTATAAGTTATTGCACTGTACATGTGATATATACGAAAATCTATAAACAAGTCAGAAAACAGGCTAATGGCCTTTGAAGCTGAAGCCTTAGGTGGGGTTTTAGTGGGTATGCCCGAGTAACGGGAGAGCCCCACACTTCCTGATTATGGAGTGTGCATAAGGTGCATTTCCCCACCTACAATAAAAAAAATAAAAATAAAAGAAAAGGACAGAAAATAGAATTAAATTGAATTAAATAAACTAAAATAAAATAAAACAAAACAAAAAATACTCTTACTTAATTTTTAAAATCAAATTAAATAAAATATAAAAGAAATAAGCTAAAATAGAGTAAACTAAGAATTAAAAATGATGCGTTTTTGTTGGAGACATGGGCTTTGGGGTTATAACTTTTTGCCTCGGTTTTCTACGTATCTGGAAAAGGAACGACCTTTTTTATCCTAGGAACCCATTTCCAAAGTGATCGAACAGCTCAAAACAAAGTTAACGTACACACGGACAAACAGGCAGCAATATAAAATTGTAACTGCCTCCCGGGAAGTAGAATAAAAGCCGTTTACATAAATAACAACAGTTTAATTAGTTATTTGTATCATATTTCGTATAAGCATCAAAAATGAAAATGCGACAACAAAATAAACAATCCTCGCCATAATACTTCTGTGCTATCAGATTCTTAATACTACCTCCATTCCCTTGACTACTCCACCAACATTATCTAAGCTCTAAAGGTAAAGGTACTACAGTAAATTGAAAATGCGATTCAATTCAAACACATGTTATCAGGCCGGTAACCTTGATTTACAATGTAAATGTATCTGAAGGTGAAGGTATCCAATACAATATTTAATTTAAACACAAATATTGACATACACATCCAAAATATTAATAACATGAAACAAAACAAAGGCACTACTATTGACCATAACCGCGCATCAAAGTATCAAAATGATTCAGTGTTGTCGATGTCAAACTTCTTTGCAATTGGGGGTTTGTTGTCTTTGAATAATTTAAAAGGGAGCACTTTGGCCATTCAGTGGAGTAATTATAAATGCATTTACACTTTTTGTTTAAATAATTAAAGTATTTTCAAAGATGGCATTTTGACGGGCAAGCCAATAATGACTATATGTAATGTGTTGGTCTCATATTTTAAGTAGTAAGGTTTAAGCACAATAAATGCGAATAAGTAATTGAAAAGGCTTACACAAATCAGAAATTTTAAAAACTCTATTGCGAAAGTAAGTACTAACAAATATGCAACTACTTTAACAATAACAGAAGAATGCTTTCAAAAAAAGTCATGATTAATGATACGAGATAAAACGATCAACAGTTAGAATTTTCTGCAAAACAAATTATTTATTTAGGTGTAACACACCATGGTAACAAATAACATTCAACATGGCATATAGTACAGATTTCATTATCCATTCCGCTATCCACAAGCACTCTTACGAATTACGAGTTAATAATTCAAAATTTCCACAATTTTCATTGGCTAATTGGTGCATATTTGTAATTTATAAAGACAAACGCGTGAATACCTCACCTCTATTATGCAGACCATGTCTCTTTTTGTTCCTGTTAGAGATATCAAAAAATACTCAAAACTGTTTTGGTAGAACCAATCTGAACATCGACTTTTGTTTATGAAATGTCTTGTAACAGGTGCAGTTTTATGACTTTAAACTGATAAATGGCAACGTTTGCACAGGAGAGATTTACTTATCATGACACAAGTGCTCGTTCTTTTGCAATATTACTATGGTCAGAAGAAAGATTCGAGTATAGATACTTATCAACAAAAGTAAAGAGAGACAGAAATAAAAGTTTTCCTGAAATAGAACACTACAATAAAAGTAGGTACTGAAATGAAATTTATCATTAGGTTTTGTATCCCTAATAGTATATTATATACCGCGGGACTGAAGTAGTACTTTTAATCCCGAAGGTAAAGTTTATGGCCCGACCGAAGGGAGGGCCATAATTTACCTGAGGGATTAAAAACACTACTTCAGTCGCAAGGTATATACGATATTTTTCGTACTTCCGAAACTGAAACACTTAATATGTATGGAGTTAGAGAACGCGTTCTTTCAAAAAATCGCTACTTAACAAGTTACCATAGGAAGTATTCCTATGCTATGGTAACAAAAATAATTTGGAAACTGTCATTGCTAGTGTCATAATGACAAAAATTTGATATTTCAAACTAAAGAATTGATACCACCGAAATCCAAAAAACTATATGAGCAGCACTACGATGCGTTTAAGAAGTAGTGCCGCATACAAAATGTGGAACAACCTACTGAAATTGCCTTGTTAGTAATTTCATCCTTCCGGGATTTTCGTCAAAATTTAATCCCGGCGGGACAAAAAGTGACACTTCAGTACTTGTCATAATGGAGTGAAGTGGTCACTTTAGTCTCGGAAGTACGAAAAAGTATTTTAGTACCTCTATTATAACAATCAGAACAAGGCGCACAATATTCAATTCCTATCCAAAAAAACTGGGAGACATCATCGTATAAAAGAACAGATTATTTTGTACAGTCACAATCGCCAAATGGGTCAATCCTGCAGTATACGCAACCAAGATTTGATATATTGCGCAACTTGGAAATGTGAACCTGTAACAAATGATAGTATCTCCCCCTTGAAGACACCAACGGAGACCAATGTGATTAGGCGATCATTACTTTTGTCAATGACGCATACATTCTATACCATAATTCAGTGTTGCAAATGATCACCACTTAAGCACATACTACTAAAAAATTCACGTTATGCGAGTGATGGATTTTCTTTTGAACTAGTGTAGCGATTGCAAAAATATGTCCATTGCAGAGATTTTCGAGTTATTGAAAAGATACGTTGTTAGAAGTATCGGTTTAATTGTATAGATGAGAAAATGTAAGTAAAAGTAAAAAACCGTCATTTCACTTTTAAATGAAAAGCATAATCAAATTCATGTTCCCTAGCAACAAGCGTGATAAACTCAATGCAATAATAACAGTGCAATTAATACTGACATCTATTTTTTTACAAGCCTTTATTAAAATATACCCGAAATGGTATGTCATTACCGACCATCTTCTCTAACTTAGCGTATTCTTCTGGTTCAAAATATTTCAATGTTGTAGTCTTCAATGAACTGAAAAAAATTACAAAAACCATAGACTATAATTGTTTTATCTATAAGTAAAGTGACAATGTTATTCATATTTTAATAGTAAACCACGGTATCAGTTACTTACAAAGGTACTATCCAAGGTACTCAATACCTTGCGGATTAACTCATACTTTTGCATACAAAAATGCTTAATATGTATAGTCAAAAGACAGTCTTGACTCTTGAGTCACTGCTACATCACGCAATGGTGTCCCAACTTTTTTTCATGGAACCTCAAATAAACAAATGATCAAATGATATGATATTCCGCAGGCCACGCCTACTGAAGTGACATCATTACATGTTCACAACAATTCTTTTTTTTTTCTCCATGTTTTTAGTTGATAGTCAAATATATAATTGCTAGTTATGTAACATGTGGTCACTTTAGACTTAAAAAAGTAATTTTTTGAATTTATATTTTGGTAAGGCTAAGTATACTAAGATTAACACATGTACCACTTTATAGCGAACAGAAACAAAAGTATGTCTGGAAAGAGAAGGCGATAACAACGCGTGCATTTTCAATTAAAAAAAAGGGTTTTATTTTTCGAGATAAGGACGGTGTATGCGGGATTTTTAGACAGCACACGAGATTGGCATTTAAAAGAGTAAGCACGTACTACTTGATTGCGAAAAATTTAGTGGTTAAAATTCAAGAGCGGCCAAAGATACGAGCTAAATTCGCAAACGGTTACTTACTATCTCAATTATGCTACATTGTTGTTGAAGAAAATTTTAACAAGTCGCTATAAAGTGTTTTTCGGAAGGCTTTCGTTTGCGAGTGATAAAAATTTAGACAAGGAAACATTTTCGAATTGGAGACGCGCTCTTCACGCAAAATGTTAATATCAACAGCCAAACATTGGCGTTTTATTTCAGTGCTAACAATATGGCGTGTTATTTTCGTTAATTTAGAGCTGGTTTGTTGGAGTTTACAATACGTATGTACATTTTTCCTTGAGATTCACGTTACCAAGGTGGTACAAAAAGTCAACGTGTCATTGCAGGGGTCTATTTCCATATTCTTAGAGAGCGGCATTTTCCGAGGAAGAGAATCAATGTAACCGGAAAGGAATCTCATCCACATCAGTTACCTACTGGAAGTTTTGAATTTTTTGCATTGTACAAATTAATGCTCGCTTATTTAAATTATTTTTAGGATTTTAGGATTAAACTTTGATATTCCTGATAAAATCGACCTATCAGAACCATTTGTATTAAACGAATGTGTATTGTTTTTTATTCAATCATAGAATCAGTTCCAAGCAAAGGATTTTGGTTATTATGTTTCAGTGATTGGGCATTTTATTTCCATTGAATTTCAGTGTTGTCATTCCTTTGGTTACATTGAAACTTTATTTAGCATTGAGAAGGAGTTGTATATTTCCACAGGAGAACGTATCAGTAATCCATTATATCTAAAGATAAAATCTCTAGATAAGTAACAAATTTAGCAGGAACACGATCATGAAACAGGCATTGCATTTTTTATACAGTTCCTTTTATGAGTCAAGCCAATATTTTGTATACAGACAAGTGTAAAGTAAAGTGGAACTCGATCGCGTTAGTGTTTATTAATATATTTAATCAACTAAAGTCATATGCGTAGCCCGCCCGTGTGGGGCAGTTGAGTTGAAGCTCGACTGTGGTACTAAGGGCCCGTGGTTCGAATTTGGGTTCGGGCATGGATATTTGTAAATCTAAAGTACAGGCTTAGACTTCTTCCTAATTTTATATTCAAAGATGTAACTGATTTCGTGGTTTTTTTATATAATGACAATTTTGTATTTCCTTTAACTCTAACCACATGCATTACAAACTTACCATCTTTGTGGAAACAGAGCACATGCGGTAGGAACCATAATACTTAAACTGCAACAAAAAGGAAGTACGGCACATTAGAAAAATAAATGAAAAAAAAACTTTGGCATAATCAATGGTTAAGTTTTTCTTTTAAATTAAAAAGAAACATGTTTTAAAAGAAAACTATTATATCAATATTTTGTTTCCATTTTTTTGTGCAGTTAAAAATCAAGAGACCTGTTTATTTTTAGGAAAATTCTCGAGAAATTAAAGGTCATGAGATAGGTAAGTATACTGGTATAAGCGTCACTTACAAGCAACCGACAAGTACGACTTGGATAGGTCCATGCATTGGTTTAATCTGCTGCATCCACCTATACTTCTCTAATCTTTCCATTATCACAGGTAATATCAACATACCCGGAGCGCACATGACAATTCGTGAAAATACTACTTGTGAAATGCCCTTCACTGCTGCTACTTTTGATTGGCACAATTTTTTGCCATCATCCCCTTCCACATCAATACCGTAAATGAGCTCTGTTTGTCTCATAAGTGGTATATTAACACAATTTGCTGCTGCAACTGCCACAAATGGCACATATCTCTAACAAAAAGAAATATAAGAATATACACCTCAAGCCATCGGAAGGTACTCACCTGCAAAATTGGGGATGCTCTTTTTTGGAACATACTTTTACAACCGATAGCAGTAACCATCGCCGACAAAGTGGCAGACACATACGCGACACCCATCTGTGTTGTAGAAATAGGCGATTGTGCATTTCTATTAGTGAAATTAACCAGAGCGTTAAAGGACTGGTTTACCCATTGCCAGAATACAACAGCAGGTACAGTTCTACCAAAATTTGAGAGTATTGCAAGTAGAGCTAGCCGGTTCCTTACCGATACCACTGCAGCATTGCACCAGTAATAAGCATACCACCAGGCAGTTGAAAAGACATCCGCCCAAAGACATTCTGTAATTCGCCACTGTCTGGATGAAATGCACTTTCATACAACTTCTTCGCATATATAACTTTTTCTATCGAATCACCTTCTGCACCTGTTCGATAGTTTTCAATTAGAGTTTTTGCTTCAAATAAACTTGTCTCTTTTTCTATGCAAGTTCTAGGATCAGTTACCCACAAGAAATGTTTAAACCTTCCGATAAATGAGTTTTGATCCCAAAGAGGTGCGTCAATATTGAGCCTTTCTTGCATTTTTTTTTAAATAAGAGGAAACTTGTTATGTAACCGTATTTATACCTACAGTCTACAGGTTGCGAGAAGAAAAAAAAGTGGTTACAAAACAAAACCAATAATAACAAAACTGTGAACTCAACCATCAAATGCGGGCCTAGAGCCACAGGCATTAAATAGTGTCTAAATACGAGACAAGGTTCTGCACTACAAGTAAAGGCGGGACTCCACCAAATTGGACTAGGCCGGCGGCACTGTGCCAACTTTTGCCGAAGAAAAATTAGAAATAAACATTCTTTCGTTAGCATCGGACGCCGGCATCATTTTGCTAGCGGGCAAATGTCGGTAAATATCAAAGGGATTTCAGCCGGCCACGCGGGCTAACGATACCTCCTAGCTACGCAAAAACATAACAAGCGCTAGTTTGAAAATAAACGTTATACGTTAAAATGCAAAAATTTAAATCGAAGTCAAAACGGAAAGAGCCCCCTAAATAGCGAATTCCAAAAAAAATGTGAAAATGGAACTCGGATTTTCGAGCCGGCCGGCGTGCTCGGGAAATAATATTCAACAATTTAAAACTTAATTCATATATCTAGGCTCCCGGGCGTCCTAAAAATCTGGGACACATCTCAAAATCAATATTAATCCAGGTGTCAGAGACTGAAAGTCTTTGAATAGACACAAGAATTCCTATTGAAGTTTTTTTTGTTTTATGTATTTACTTTTTATTTAAAAAAAACAAGTGTTCAAAAATTAGCTATATTTACACAAAACAAAGTAGTACCAAACATGTTTTATATAATACTACTTAAATACGTACTTACCTAAAGTAATTAAATCACAGATACATTCATGATTATTGTAACTAATGTTTGGAAATACGGTTGAACGATAACAAGCTTCAGATGCAATGCATAATGTACTTCAACAAATAAACGTGAAACTAAAAATAAACTCTCTTTAACCAAAACAATTGTACATCACGCAAGTATCCAATGTTGTTTAATTTTATTCCCTAATTCAAATATATAACATCTAAATATAAACAACGAATCATTCTCAAAAGTAGTAAAAAGAAACCAATGAAAAAGTTGTCAATATTAAATTGGATAAAAAGTGAAAAATAAATAAAACCAGAGTGACTGGCAGTATGTGTAGAAATTTAAAAAAAAGTAAATAAGAAGATAATGGTAAACTAACTCATGCTGTACAGTGAACTGTGTTACATCATTAGGCCTTAGCACCAGTTATTTTGAGGCTTTAGAATAACAAAATCCAAATACACAAATAAAAAAAATATTTCAGTCGTGATAACTATTTCCCTGGCAAAGATAAAAGAGAAATGAGCTACTTTTTTTACTTTCTTGTTTTATATGAAAAATTAATGAACGATGATTAATTTATATATCTGGGGGAAGTATTTTATCAAAACGGTCTGTAAAAATTCGGTTAAACTAGCTACCCAATTATACATAGGAAGGTAGTGTAGAAACACTCGCGTAAAAATTTAAACGTCATTATGCAATGGTTGCTGTGCAGCCTGTGGACAATTGAATCACAATAATCGTTCCTTACGACATAACATCGATTTCTCTAGGAGATGCTAGTGCAGGTGGTGGCACAGTTATAATGTTTTGCGAAGGAGAACTTACTAGCGGCGTTTCCTTTCTTATTCTATTTTCTACGATTTCTCTGGCCTCTAATGTAGCTTGTCTAATCGCTTCTTTGTATGCTCCTCTTTTCTTTTTATTATACCGTACCTGAAAGATAAATGCAGACAGTATAAATACAAATATATCAAACCATTTCAAGCATTTAATGATGGGAATGTTCTATGTTCTATACATTTTTACAATTTTCACTTTTTTTTCTACACAATTAGAAAAATTGACAACCTAACCTTAAAATTATTAAAGGTTGGTGAAATTGTACAATGACTTTAAAACAACAACAAATTGATCAAGTTAACAGCAGTGTAAAACCAAGGGACTTGAGCAAGAAATTGTTCAATAAATTATGAAATAACCATGAATTAATTGTTGATGTAAAACTAGCTTAATGACGTATCACATGACCTGTAGCCATTTAAAAAACTTCAAGATGGCGGTCGTATGTTATGTTCATATCTCAAACGGTTTAAGCGTGAGTGCTTTGGTTCCATGTTTAATAGTGACGCTTTATATAATTGTCTGAATTGCTTGCGTAACATTCACCGTTAATGATACCCACAAAAAATCCAGCGAGATCAATGACAAACAACAAAACTAAAGCAACGGTTTACAAGACCATTGAATTTGACTTTGCAGAAAATCGAATGCTGTCAAATCAAAGCAATGATAACAGGGTTCTTATGCAAAATACTCGTTGTGCCACTGTGGACAACTTTGTTTGCTGGAATTTGTATTTGTATTTATTTAGCATAATATATGGTTATTGAATATAATGAAAAATTGGCAACAATTACATAAGCCAAGGCTCGTGCGTGATGGGTCATCAAGTATATACTTTAGTACACTAATACAAAAAACAAAACAAAACAAACATATATAATATATATAAATAATCTGTTAGTTCCTGGATTTAGGAGCGCATTGCGGCAGCAATTTTTTGGTAAAAGCATGCTTGATGAAGATGACTTGTGTTATCAATAAACATTATCATCAGAATCACATATCTTCACAATGAGGGATGACTCAGTAAGGGGTACACTTCGCTGGTATTATAATACGTAGTACAGTACCTTTTACACTGTGTTTTAGTATTATTAGTAATACCATACCATATTATATTGCGTAATACGAGTACAAAAATTAATGGTATTATGTTGCTATTTTTGTTATTAATTCCAATATTATTCGTATATACAATGGTAGTAGGTACTTCGATATAGTATGTGTTTTGTCGCCTAAAGCGCAAAAAGTCATTATGCAAACATAAATGACGAGAGCGTATTTTCCTCCTAATAAATTTAATGCTAGGACCAGGAAAAAATACCGGTAGGCATGAGATCCTTAACCCCATTCTCTTTCAATCAATGAATCTATTTTAAATAAACTTATAAAAACTATTTTATATTGTGTATTTGAAATAGATTTCTCAAGGTATTTTCTATTTTATATTTGAAACATTTTTGAGCCTATGTTAATCTATCGTTTCTATCGGTTTTAGTGTTGCCTATGGACTTGCCCATGTTGGATCAATATCCAATAATAATAGAACTACAATTCCTTAGTCGGCTCTTGTGAAACGCTTGTTTTCCTATGCAGAAATAATGATTATGCGACCAAAAAGAAGATGTTTAACAGACGCACAACTTAAAAAACTGCTTTTACTTAAAACAAATAATTAAATCATGAGAAACGATTGTTTAATATTCTCTTGCTTTATGAATGTTACAATAATAACGCTCAATGAACAGGTAGATATTTAGTTCAAATACCTATTTTCTATTTGGTATTTTAAATAGAAATACCAAACCTGTTTAGTATCTTGTATTTAAAATAAATTAGCATTTCTTATTCTGTATTTTCTATTTTAAATAGATTTTGAAAAGTACATATGTTACCCAGCTCTGATTATATTTCATTTAACTGCTTTCATAAATAAGAAAGTTGCCATTCTGCATGCGCAAAACCAAATTTTAAATCTGGTGTTAGATTTGGTTGAATTCCAAGTGTCTATGTAGTAAATTTCATTTAAATGCTTCAGTAAATAAGGAAGTTGGCATTGCGTATGCGCAAAACCAACTGTTGCAACTGTGCTCAATTTACATTATACTTTTTTCGTCCTGAAACTTTGACTAGAACTTGTACTAGACGAACTTGTTGAAATTTTGACAATGTAAATCAGAAAATTCCATCCAAGTTTCTAATCTAGACACTAGATTTGAAACTCGGTCCAGACCCATTTTCCATCCAACTTTCATACTTGTGACTTGCGCACTAGTACCAAACTAGAACAAATTACGTGCTGCCAACAACTTTATTTTTATACTCTTGAACATAACCTCAAATATGTCTCTTGAATTAGGTACATGTACATAGCAAAAAAGAGTTTCTTTTGCATGTTATTCATGTTTGTTTTCAAGCCATTTAAATTAACCTCAAAATGTACAATATTGAGATTTGTTTTCCGAAATTGGCCGCACTGCCATTGAAACAAAAAAAGTCAATGCACCAAAAAGCGGTAAATTTAAATTTCTAGTATAGTGTCGGATCTAGTACAAGTTCTAGTCAAAGTTTCTAGACGAAAAAAGTGTAATATAAATTGAGCTTTTTAGATTTGTCTTTATTCAGTCATTTCAGAGGACATATAAATCGATCGATTATATCAATTAGCGCGCGCATGTGCAAAAATAAATTATGTATTTGTGGACTAATGGGGGTTTACAGTATAGTTGAATTCCGCAGTTCTAATTTAATAAGCGTGTACCTGAAACCATAAAACATTTTTGTAGACAGTAAAAGTTTATTTAAAAATAGAGGCTGATTAACAAAAAAATAATGAACATGTGCGGTTTTAAAGGTTTATTCAAAACGATATGATTGTGGCGGGCTCTGTGACGTAATAAGCCCGACCAATCAGCTCCTAGAACCATTCAGATGACATAACGACTTGGCAATATTGCAGGAGAGTGGCATTTATAACTTGCGTCACCTGTTACAGGCACTTGTCACTTTCGTGCTAGATGCAGTTAAACATCCCTCTCAAAACGTCAAATGTGACAAACGTCAGACCCTCGCGTAAGGTCACTTCTACGTGATTGGTTGTAGGTTTGTGACGTATTTAGTCTGAAGCGTTTCAAATTCGGACTAAAAATACAGCTTTTCAATAATTTATTTTGGGTTTATTTTACTCGCAAATAAAAATTGAGGACACACGGGTCTTTTTATTTTTAATGTACTTTGTGGATCAGAAATAAAAAATGAAGGCGGGATGACCCCATTCTCGTGAAATTTTAACGGTATGTACATCTTATAAAAGCAAATTGAACATCCATGTGAAAAATTGCTACTTTGTTCAATAAACGGCGAAAGCGATGCATGAAAATTAAATACAATAAAAGGGAAGTGCTGGGTCTCAACAAATGCTACCGTGCGGAAAAGTAAATCATTTTTTGATTTTATAATTCTAAGGCAACATCGACTTCCTGAAAAAAAAAACGTTATACTTTTTCCCCATTTTTCCAGTTCCAGTGATAAGTGTATTCGCCTTGAATGAAAGAATTTAATTTCGCACTGCTAGTATTACGCCGTTATCCGTATTTACCGTAACAATATTCCCCTTCTTGCAATGAAACTTTATTCACTTTATCACGCATCTTTAATCTTTGTGGGTTAAATTTTCCATTATTGTTCGTATTTAACGTAATAGTTTTTAAGCTGTAGATTTTACTTTGTGTATGAGGGTACTAAATTTTTATTAGCGCGTTTAAAATGTTACCCGTTTCACACCTTACAGTGATTCACAGGTGACCGACTTAATTTCGCTCAGCGCTACACACTATCTGTCTGACGACTCAATATTAAATAACTAAATGCGTCACGGTTCTCTCAAACACTACCACTACTTTACTTTTTGATTGACCCTCATTTTGTCTTTTCCACCAATTAAAACCAACCTTTGCGTAACTTGACAGCAATAAATTGATTCAACGTGAAGTAATTGCCGCTGACGTTGCAAAACCCATCCTGCGCAGCAAGCTCGCTGCAAAGTAAACAAAATATTTCCTGTAATCTGAAGCGAACACGCCATCTATCACGACTCACTGGCGCCGCCAGCTTTCGCACGCATTTACAAAATTGGGACCGTATTTCAGAGCCACTCGCTCACGTATATCAAACAAATTAAGTAACCGGGTGAGTTTATACAGCTGTACATACACCTACAGTTTGTATAATGGATCTTTGATTGGCAACAATAACCGATCGTTATGAAATGAAATCAATGCAGACACGCATCAAGTTACCATAAATTCTGGATTGTGCACTAGAGACTGAAACACAGGGGCGGATGGGCAACTAAAATCATACCGGGAAACTGACTGATGGCAGGCCAAAATTATAAGCAGCGATCAGCAAATTATGTTTTTTTTGACGAATGGTGTGTTTATTAAAAAATATGTATGATAATGAAAAAAATCATAAAATTAAGTTTCTTACAGAACATAAACATTATTATAATAAAACGTAGGTAATGGTAACCAACATTAGTATTCTTACAGATTATTAGAGAACATAAATATTATAATTTATAATATAAAAATCATTAATACAATAATGCACCCTTCATTAGTTTGGTAGTTTGACCTAAACGATTGATTACGTCTTCATTGTCGATATCGTTTAAAATTTCATTCTCGATGTTCATCACAGAGTTGGACTGGGTCACTGGGTCAACTGGGTCACTAAATTAAACTGGGTCACTGGGTCACGTCATACTCTTTTCAGTTAGACCCAGTGACCCAGTTTGACCCAGTTTGACCCAGCGACCCAATTTCACCCGGAGACCCAATTCGACCCAGTAACCTAGTTTGATCGAATAACGCAGTTAAGTCAGTGCCCTCGGTTCAAGTGTACAGATTATGAAATAAATGAAATGCTGGTTTGTTGAAAATAATACTCGATTGCTTGACAACTGCCATTTTTGTGATGTTTGCTTTAATACTGCCGTAAAAAGCTTTCCATGTCCCGAATTGTATTAGAATAATGTTATTTCTTTGCTTCAGGGCTTACCAGTTTGCTTACAGGTGTTCATTCACATTTAATATTTTTCTACTAGTTAGCTTAATCCAAATAAATCTTTTCTCTAAATACTTTCATTGACTACTTGACTACAAACTATAAACAAATGCATTTGATTTTTTTAGGTATTAGTTCTCTTGAATGAAATTGGGCTACGTGCTTGTTGCCGAATATTATTGAGGAAGTTTTTTTTAAAATTAAAGTTACTTGAAATTGTTTTGGATGATACC